GGTGATGGTAGTTTAGACTTCTTCTCAGAGGGAGGCCTTCCGCGACTATTTCTTTCACTACCGGAGGAAAGCGATTTTGCCAGTAAAACCATATAGTTCAGGTGTGTTATCTTATTTTGAACTAATTGATTATAACAAACAAGTAACGTTCGACCATCGGTCTCACGTAACCCTCGACTGTAGTCGATCAGTCGTGCCTCTTTGCTACTGTCAAACAATGAGAATCTCGTATGAAATATGTACTCATGCCGACGGGATTCTCCTTACAATCCATATGTTTACTGATATAGGTCCAGGACACTGTTTTTTTCGAGCATGGATAGTTTATATGAAACAAGTTCGATGCATTTCGAAACGACAACAGCCTACAGCACGCTCTACATCAAGAATACAAGATACTATCATGAATGGAATGAGACAATCAGTTCACCTAGCATCCTTTTTTTCCTCGCGGGATAGCATGAAAACACTTTATAAGAACTATACGGTCAATAGAGTTCGGAGAGTAATAGCTAGTCATTGGTCGGCGTTCCTCCAGTCCGCCATTCACGACTAGCCCTTGTTGCGTCTATAGTTCTGTTGCTGTAGTCGATTCTTCAGTTCCGAACACGAGAGCAACTCCTAACATCCATCTGGTAATCTTTTCAGAAGATAATTTTTATGACACTAAAATGATCTCAGTTTACAAATTTCATCGTTTCAGGAATTCTCGCTACTCTGAACTTCCATTCTCTCTCATTTATCCCTTCGACTTTTGGTCAAAACCCTTTACTAGTAATGATGTCATTTCTATTTGTTTTTCAATCGACTTCAGTTAGAATTGAACGAGCGAATGACGCTCTTGCGTTCTACCAGTCATGTCCAAGAAACGCTTAGGATGTCTTGTGAACCAGTACAGACTTGATGAAGAGAAAATTTCTGTCCAGCAATCCAGTTATTTGAGGTTTTGATTATTCGTATGATTCGATCATTTCTCTGCGAACTGATGTTTCTGACTCGAGAACTGTGACTCATCCAGTCCTGGAATATGAACATCGTGTCGTTTCTATCTACAATCCATTCCCAGGCAAAGCTGATGCTGCGTTGTATCTATCGTTTATATTTCTAGAGGCCGAAACTTTTATCCCAATTCGTATATCATACATTTCTGCCGTTTGTTGCCAAGAATTGAGATATCATAGTCCGATGTTTAGTTGAGGACGGTCTACAGATACGGATTTTTTCACAAAAAGAAAGCATGGTTACATGCATAAAGTTCCGATCTTCAATGGCGCTGATGCATCTCTGAAACACTTCATTCTATGGATCGCATCGAGAGAACGTCATCATGATCTTTTCTCTATAATTTCTTGGTCCTTAGCAGTGCTGCCCATCTACCCTACATTTCCATTGCTCGCACATTATTTTGGGACCGATCAATCGCCTATAGTATCCCACTGTTCAACCTCTTTTCATGACACCTTACGCGCAAAAGCATTGTACATCTTTAAAATAAACGGATCATAACGAATCATGCTCCGCTGAGATCTACTGAATACAATGCCCTTCTAAATCTACGCTCCTAAGCCTGTCAGTTGCGTGTATGAGTTACGAATTGCTTATCATTTTGTCCAAGACCATATAGCACAGCAACTCTAAGAACAAATAGAATACATGTTGGCATTTTCGTGAATGCTAACGAATCTGCAAGGTGCTTCATACATCATTCGTACTGTCAGACGCAAAATAGTTCTTTATCTAAGTCTTCGATTGATTTGTTATAGGATATCACCATTCGATGGCTATTTCTCTCAATTTTTCGCTCAGAATAGCTTGATTAACACAGATAAAATGAAAATTGTTCCGAACAGTGAATATGAAATCAGCAGATAACCTACCCCTGGAAGACCCTCACAATTGCGAAAATGTTGGCTGGGATGTGTGGGGTTGGTGTGGGTGTGTGGGTGTGGATGTATGGGTGTGGGTGTGGGTGTGTGGGTGTGAGGTGTGGGTGTCAGGGTGGGTGTGGGTGTGTGGGTGTGAGGGTAGGTGTGGGTGTGGGTGTGTGGGTGTGAGGTGTGGGTCAGAGATGCACGGTCCACGGGGTTCACCCCGCGGGCCCCGCGGGGCCACGTGGCGACGGGCGGGCGGGGAAGCAAATTTTAATTAAATACGGGGTTAACGGGGCGCGGGTATTTGCCAGCCCACGGGCGGGCGGGGCGGGGAGCAAATTTTTAAAATGATACGGGTCTCGGGCGGGGCGGGTATGAAATACACGGGTTCGGGCGGGTAAACATTTTTTTTCGGGTGTGATAAAGAACCGTCAAAGTTTATGAAGAGATGTTATTACTACAGATATGCATAGTACAAAGTACATATCAATTGGTTTATTGATTTGATTCTATTAGGTGCAAGCTTGTCTGTTATTTGTGTCTTTCTTTCTTTCTCCTCCGTCATGCACAGTTTCCACTACTAATTTATACTAAGTGAATAACTGGACTAAAACTTATTTTATATTTATTAAGAAACACTGCGCAGTAAAAACTTCTTTTTCTTATCAAAATTCAGATTTCTTAACGATGAAATCATTGTAGAATGAATAAACATTCTTTATTGTTTTAGTAGAACATAACGCTGAACACGATAGCTTCTTGAAACAGAATTAAAGTGATTGACTCGAAAGAGTACAATTCATTCGAATAGGAACTCGCGATTCCGAAGTAATAGGCACAAAACTATATCATTTATTATCTTTCATTGTTGAAGTCACTCAATAATTAATGAAGTTCTATTGCAAATTCAAAACTGAACTGAAGAAAAGAAGCCAGCAAATCGAAACGTTAAAGAAACGAAGTAATTCGCGAAACGAAAACTTTTCAAAATACAGGGAAACTATACAAGATAATTCACTAATTTTCACCAATTTTCTTCAGGTTATTGTATTTCTACAAAACATCAGGAACTTTTTTATTATTATATGATCAGATAGAGCATTGATTACTTCATCCAATGGTAGTTTTTCTTTGATCTGTCTTACGTGTCGGTCAAAAAATGAGTAAGTTTCGTGAAGCAGGCAAAAAATTTTTTGCCAAATTTCAACATGTTTTCTTCGAGTAATTATAACATATTGGACAAATAAATATATTTTGTTTTGAAATAGTTTGATAGAGTATCTTTTATCATTTTAATTTTCAAATTGACTGCAAATTTCATGAGTGTTTAACAAATGTTTCGGATACGTTTTCAATTATTTGCCTTGGTCCAGTTAATTTTAATCCTTTAGCTATATCTATCTTTTCCATTAGTATACAGTACAATGGAGCAGCGATTTCTCCAGTAATTCATGCAAGTTTAGCCTGACTTCGTTATAAAATTTTATAGCTCAATTTAAGATTATATGAACAGCACCGGAAATGAAGTAATTCGAATGTGTCTAAAGTTCCAATAGTAAAATTTTATTTTCTTCTCAACTTCGAAACATTTTTATTTAATACTTTGTGCAAGTTTAAGCATGAAGGATCTCATCTATGTATGGTTAATTTTGCGACAATCGAATTTAGCCTGAGTCAAGTATATAAGTTTGCGAAGGGAAAGGGTATTGATATTTCAAAGTATCTGTCCTACCAGCGTTGTTGAGGATGAAAGTTTTTAAAAAAATATCCAACAGCCTCTTAGCTAGAATGGTGATGAGATATCTGTTTATAAAAGGAATGTATGATTAAAAAGTATTTAGTAAATAAAAAATTTCTTCGGGTTACACGGGGGCGGGGCGGGGCCCGTCGCAAAAATGACGAGTCGGGCGGGCCGGTCCAAGAAGCTGCCTGTGCGGGGTACGGGCGGAGCGGGTATGGATTTTTCGGGGCACAGGCGGGGCGGGGATTTTCATAAAACTTATACACGGGGTTCGGGCGGGACGGGTTTGTGAATTTCACGGGGCGGGCCCCGCGGGGCTTGAAAAATCGATGCCCCGTGCATCTCTGGTGTGGGTGTGGGTGTGAGGGTGGGTGTGGGTGTAGGTGTGTGGGTGTGAGGGTGGGTGTGGGTGTGGGTGTGTGGGTGCGGGTGGGGTGTGTGTGGATGTGGGTGTCATTTCTCTCTTTACTCACACCCGCACCCGCACTCACACTCACACCCACACCCTAAATATGTTGTCAACATCTGAACAGATGAATTAAAATAATTTGTTTTCATTTCATTTCATTGATGTATATTAATTAAATAAAATAGAACGAATAAAGTTAAATAGAATTTCCATAAATATAAACATAAACATGTTTATTTTTAATATAATTTATTTTCATCGTATTTATTTATCATTTAACTTCAATAGAATAAATCATTTAGTGCTTAATATCGAGAATTTTGACGATAAATAATCCTAAAAGATGGCAGATGTCCCAAAATTTTTGGAAGACGCCGATCTATTTTCAATAAACATCTCACATCATGAATAAATGATAAAATGCTTGATTTGTTTTTTTTCAAAAGATGAACTATGAAAAGCTTTAGAAAAAATGTCGGAATAAATGTCTACTAACATATTCTGATGAAATTTGTGCTGCTTGACACCGTATTCTAGTAAAGAGGAAACCATCAGAACAAATCAATAAGAGTTTATTCTTAAAACTTTTATAGAACTTTTCACAGCACAAATTTTTCGAAAAGAAAAATCAAGATTTTATTATTTATCTGTGCAGAAATATTAGCAAAGTGAAACTATTTTATAAAAATTTATGAATACTTAATAGAAGTATTATGCAGTTGTTCATTATTTAACCATCTAGAAAAATCATTCAAAGTAACTCAATAGGGTGTGGGTGTTAATGTTATCTCAATTCATACCGCTCCCACATTCATACCCAAATCAAATTGATGGAAAGACATATTAAAAGCAGGAGCACCAAACACTTCACCAATGTTTTCATGACGTTTCATCTTTCACTCTTACAAAAACAGACAAAAATTTATTTTATTCCATATAAGCATTGCTATACTCGAGGAAATATTATTTTCTAAAAAAAAAATTTCCTCCTCAACCCAAAAGAACTCAATTCAAAATTTCGAGAAACTGACTTCGGATTCAAATTATCCGCTTTCGATTACCCTTTGGTCAAGTTTTATGTAAAACATTAAAAATTAATGGGTAGTTAATAATTAATTAAGACTAACCTGAGATTCACATTCTCTGACTTCCATTTGTCTTCGTCAACCTTTAGATAAAAGAACTTTAAATGGGTGTTTTTTTTGACTCTGACGCAAACACACACACATATACAACCCATTTTTTTTTCATATGATCCTCCCTACAGTCGAGGAAAAAAATACTATATTAATTACCTGACATAAATGATATAATTTGTCTTTTCAAGTCTCAGTTTCAATTTACTTACTATGTCAATTATACGAACACGATCTTTCTCCATTAGTAATTGTTGAATGATCTTAAGATCATCAATCAGTATAAGACACAATATTCATCTCATGATCTACGATATCTATCTGCTCAACTATCGTCTATTCATCTTTTATCTCATATATAAACTAATGTTTTGCATCAAAATGAACAGAATTGGCGTTATGGAGTAGTATAATGAACACTGTATACTGAAATTTAAATATTTTCGTTACACTTCTTTTTGGCACTAGTTTTTTTTAAAATCAGTATGTGTTCATTAAATAATACTTCAATTAGCACTATAGAACAGGAAAAAGAGAGTTCCTGTCATATAAATATTTTTACTTGATGAATCACCAAACATTCTTGAGTAAGCACTTTACTATTCTCTTTTACCCTATACAATATGATAAGAACTCGATAATGTAAAGATGAATCATTTTTTTATATTTTCATCAAATAAATCATGTCACTGGTGGAAAAACCAATTTGGTTTCATTTGGATATTTCCAACAGTTACCTTAAGATAAAAGAACAAAACATGAGACATTATTTTATATAAGAGTAGGAAAACGTTTTCTTTTGTATTTTAAATACATTCGAAAATAATTATAGTACATTTTTTTTTAATTTCTGAATGAAATTCATTTGAAATTATTTTGACTCCTTTTTTTTTGAAGATATATTTTTGATCAACTTGAAACTTTCATTTACGATTAAAACAATAGTCAATTGAATCTTCCATCGCTTTAGAAATAGATCTTCAATGAATAATTCTAACAATGATTCATTTACAACAAAAAAATTTCGCTTTGCTTCAGGTGAATTATTAAAACTGAAGAATTATCAAATTCAAAAAATTCCTTATTTAACTGCATTGGTTTCTGCTGGACCTAGTTTTGATTCAATAAAACTCCATGAAGAATAGTATTTACTCGATTCTCACATTAACTACCGGGATTTTTTGTTTGTTCTTGATTCAATTTCGTTTCATTGAATAAAACAAATATTTATCAATCTACCTGAAAATTATAATATTTTGGCTATTATTGCTCTTTGGGATTTTCTGATTATCAGACCTGAACGTAGTCCAACACTTGAAGAAGTTAATTCGACTTTTTTTTGGAATTTCAAATTTGGTGAAACATTAGGCGTATTTAATTTTATTTATAATCCATCTGATATTCAAAATATGGCTGCTCGATTTGCAATTGCCACAGTTAAAGAAGAATATGATTTTATCAATCGTGAAGTAATGGATCAAATCTATTGATTTATTATGTTTATTCTTAGTTGTCATGAATTATTTGAAACAAATCTTCGTTATCATATCCATAAAATTGCTTTTCTATATTTTGTTCATCTTTATTAGAACGTTTATATAGACTGGAACTGAAAGAGAAAAAACGCAATACTTGTCAGTCTTTTCAAAGAAGATATCTTTCTCAAAGATTCCAATGTGTCTAATAATGACTGTGAATCTAGTTTTGAGACTATCAAGCATTTATGTACAACATGCCGTTTTAACTTGAGATTTAGATGCTGCACTTTCTTTGAATTTCATTCATTCACTAATTTTGATGAATTGAAATACAAGCAAATCTTACATGACATATTGAACAGTCGTACTATACAAGATGCATTACATGAAAGCATATTATTAGAAATTTTGGATAAAAATCTATGAACTAGCCGAATTGATTTGAAAGGAGAACAGATACTTATCAGTCAAATCTAAAATAAGATATAAATTTTTTAAAACACATTATCACAAGAACACACATACGTTCATTTTTTTTGAACATATTTGTTCATCAACAAATACGATGTGCCAAAAAAAAACCAGTCTAGTTTAAATGTACATTGCGTGTTTTTTAAATTTGATGACATACAATGAATTCTTTTTCTCAATTAATTTATTAATGTATTAGTGTTTTTTAACTTCAGTTTAATTGAAATACATATTGATCAATCTAAATTCGATCATCAACCATTGTTGTTGATACATTACTTTAACCGCAGCGCTAAGAAAACAAATTCATCGTGCATTAAAAATATTATTCTCTTTGCAGCATCAAAAATTCCTCTCTTCCAATCGTGTTCATTTTGAAAATAAACAGTGTATATATAAAATAAGTTATTCTTTGTAAGATGTAGAACTTTTAATGTTGCATATCTTGTGTTTGTTTTTAAACACATTGTATTACATGAGAAAAAATTTAGTTAGAAAAAAGAATTTTTATACTTGAGAGAAAATCATTTATTTCCATTGTTGTTTGCTTTGTCAATAATATCATTACATCAACAAAAAAAATTCTGTAAAGAACAATAAATAAATTAAATAATAAAATATTCGTTACCTTAAAAAACAAACTGTTTTTTGTATCAAGAAAAATATCCTTATCCAGCTTTTACTGTACATCACCAATGAAATTGTTGTCAACTATTTTTTCTTACTGTATAGGGTGTCCAAAAATTATGGGAGCCTTGTTTGTTTTTGAAAATTTTTAATAAAGATGGATAGTTAGATCAAATCTAAATAGTAATTTAGATAGCCCTGAAATTCTCTATCGAATAGGGTATAGACTAAAATTTCAAAAGAAATTTTACGAAGAGAATCATCTCGAAAAATCGTTTCACTAAAAATTCAACTTCTAGAAGAGTTTTAAGGCGCTTTGTTGCAAAATTATAAGCCTCAGAACACTCGAAACAAGCGCATTTTTAACTGAATTTTTGCGTTTTTTTGATAAATTATACAAGTTTTCAAGTTTTCTGATGCTTATAACTTTGTAACGAAACGTCATGGAGATCTGGGCAACTCCTCAGTTTGCTTAGAATTTTTTGTTCTTTCAGATGACTATATTTAAAAGTATTTTTTTTCAAACTCTTCTAGAAGTTGAATTTTTAGTAAAACGATTTTTCGAGATGATTCTCTTCGTAAAATTTCTTTTGAAATTTTAGTCTATACCCTATTCGATAGAGAATTTCAGGGCTATCTAAATCACTATTTAGATTTGATCTAACTATTCATCTTTGTTAAAAATTTTCAAAAACAAAGACGGATCCTATAATTTTTTGATATCCTATAGTTTCTTTAGTTTCAATGTATTCTAAATAATTCTTCTTTATTGAAAACGGATAGGATAAAACAGACAATAACAATCAATCTATTTACAAAATCTTCTTACTTTCATTTAATTGCTTCATGAGAGATCAGTACAAAAGCATTCTATGAAGTTTTAGAATGTAGAAAAAAGAATATTGCTTTGATAATTATTTTTATTTATTTAACATCAACTCCAAGCAAATTCAATACTTTTACGGCTCATATTTTTATTTATATTTTATTTGGTTATGTTATAATTCATTTTATTTGAATGCAAAAGTTATTAAAATGAAAACAGTATAAAAAAGATTTTATTATTATTTTACTAACAATTTGTACTAACACAGAAGATAAAATCTATTTTAAAGTGAAACGTAGATACTTTTTAAAATTTTTGAATTAAAATATGAAAATTTTCTTTTCCTTTTTCATATTAGTGAAAAAAATTTCCTTATTAATTTCCAATATTTGTTTTTTACTTTTAAATATAAGTAACGCTAATCGAAATTTGGTTTCTGAGCCCTAGCCATTTAGTATAGGGAAAAGAGTATCTCTGACATATTTGTAAGAATGAAGTGAATAATGTTAAAAGTGACTGTTCAAGACTTATTTGTTTCTGATATAAACACGTAATTAAAAAATACTGTTGTACGAAGAATTTGAATGAGAAACAATAATCAATCAAGGAAGTAATCAGCAATCTATTTTTTCAATAAATAACCTATTGATACGAAATAAACCCTGTAGTTTATCTTGAGGTGTGGGTGGGTCTGAGTGTGAATGTGAGTGCGTTAAGAGAAGACCCATAGCCATACCCACACCCCTCTATATACATTCTTGAATAGGATGATAATCGAATATTTTTCAGATATAAATTCATTGATGAAACTCATCTAAATCTATCGATCATTTATAGATAACATTCATATTATATTGATTGATTTGTTACTTTCAAGTAAATCATATCTGAAAAATGAGTTTCGTCCGAATTTTCTAATATTGTTTTGTATGATTAATGTATTGTATCTTGTCCAAAATACTTATTCACTAATGAAAAAAGAAACTGTAAAGCTTAATTCTGATATGAGATTCAATTTGTTCTTCAAACGCATCAAGCATCGATAGGATGTTGACTTCGAAACGAATATTATTGTTAATATCATGAAGTATCTAATATTTCTTTTGAACTCTTTTATATTAATCGCTTCCATTCTCGATTAAACGTATCCTTCTAAGCTTCTTCGAGCTGATGGTGGACGTTTCTCTGGAGTGTCACTCATTATTCATTGTTTTTGTCTCTTGTTTCTCTAAGCTTGAATTTAAATTATTTCAAGAATTTTCTCACATAACATTCTGAACACAAAAAAAGAAATGTGGAATTTCGACGTCCATTTTCTTGTTTCATCATCACTATCTGTAAAGTTGAAATAGGTGGATAGAAAAGTGTTCGACACGTCAAAAGAATATACGCACATCAAGAAAATATTTATTCAAAATTGATAAAAAATAAATGTGGAAACCTCGGATTTAAATCCGAGGGTTATGTGTACTTGAAAAAAGTGAATTAGACAGACGAATCATCCTAGAATGTGTGGACATCAAAATTATCCTGGCAAACCTTTTCTATAAACAGTTCAATCCTATTGGCTACTGCTCAATCACTAGGATTTGTGAACGAATACAGATCAAATTTGAAATCTTCGCCCTGATTTGCCATCAGAAAGTAGTTTTTCCTATAACTTGATTTCTATTGGTCACTGTTGAACCAATGATATTTCGAAGCAAGTGGATTACAGATTAGAGTCCTCCGCGCCAGAAAACCTCGAGGTACCATCTCTATCATCGAAAGACGGAGCTCTATTTATGGATGAATTAGAGCGTGAAACAAAAACAGAACCATTTTCCGTTTAATTATCTTCGCAATAGGTGAGTTAACCTTCTTCTTTCTTTAAATTTTATACATCATTTTGTAGCTCGTGAAATTCTCTATCGAATGGTATAGAATAGTTGGGTTGTTATTTTGACTATGATAGCAAAAACTTATTACGAAAACAGGGACCGGTCGTTCTTTACATAGAGAAAAATGACTATTTTGTGCAATAACTCAGCAATAGCTCGGCCAATCAATTTCATCTTCAAACTTAATCGATACATGGTTGAGACAAAACTGTGTAGAAAATTACATCGCGATCTGACACTCCTTTCAAAAGTTATCATGTAAACGGCTGGTCGGACACATCAGAGATGTCCATCGCGGCTGAAAATCTGCCGCTGCCGCGCCGCGGCCTTAGAAAAAAAAAGCTGCCGCACCGCTGCCGCGCCGCGGCGGTTTATAAAAAAATGTTGCCGCGACGCTGCCGCACCGCGATGACTTATAAAAGAAACGCTGCCGCGCCGCTGCCGCGATGAATTATAAAATAAACGTGCCGCCACCGC